GCGTGCACCACTATGACCGACTTCCATGTTCTCATTTGTAAAGTAAAGTAGATGGGAGTAAACATAAGTATGTGTGTATATAACAGCTGTACTTTTTGACTCAGTGTCGCTGGAACAACACTTGACCAGACAAGAGTAACCCTTTGTGGTTCACTAGGGCCATGGGCTCTGCCATCCTGGCCCCCTGACCCACACAGGCTTGCGACCCGGATGTGCACAGAGGGAGGGTGGGGTCAGACATCATAGCCTACCTGCCATCTCTGGGAGGCTGAGGCAGGAGGATAATTTAGTAACGTAGTGAGACCCTGTCTCTAAGTAGAAAGGATTGGGGATATAGTTCCATGCAAAGGCCCGGGGCTTAGTCAGTAGTGCACAGAAGAAGGTGGGGAGCCCAGCCTAGTCCCGGACTCTTCCAGGCCTTCACTTGGCATCCACAGAGTGCGGACCCGCCCCTGGGCAACACAAAGGGGGGCGTGGCGGTGCCCAGAAGAGAGGCTTCTGTTTCTTTTCATAGCAGCACCCTGTTGCCTGCGCAGAAATATCCCCTGTCCCGTCCCTCCTCCCAGTGCCCGCTCTGGATGCAGTTGGTCATAAGCCATTTGTTCCTAATTGTGGGGATCCTGCTAATGACTTCACAGCAGGCGGGGAGAGAAGAGAGGCTTGTTTCTTTTCATAGCAGCACCCTGTTGCCTGCGCAGAAATATCCCCTGTCCCGTCCCTCCTCCCAGTGCCCGCTCTGGATGCAGTTGGTCATAAGCCATTTGTTCCTAATTGTGGGGATCCTGCTAATGACTCTACAGCAGGCGGGGAGGGGAGTGCGGCTTCATCAAGGAGACCAAGTTCCTGGGGTGGGGGTGCCAGCCAGAAGGGGACTCAGTTCTCTGGGTAGCGCCAGGCTGCCTGGTGACGGGACCTTGATGGTGACACTGCTGACCTCATCACGGGACCCTGTGGGTGCCGGGGAGTTGGCCGGGGCCGTCCAGTTCCGCAGGGGAGGAGACGCAGCCCAGAGTGGACACGCTTCCCATGGTCACTCTGCATGCAGCAGAGTCAGGACTCAGGCCCGGCTCTGGCCAGGGTCGTGCAGAGTAGACAGCCCTCACTGCCTGCCAGGGGCAGGACCTTCTCCCACGCCACAGAGCCGGGCATGTTTTCACTGTGGTCTAAAGGCCAAGTGGCTCCTAGTTTCCACTCTGTCCTGTCTTCCTTCTCTCTGCAAGCTGTCCCAAAGGCTTGGCCCTGATGGCTTGTCAGCTGGAGGAAGCAGGCACCACTGCCTTATGGACCCCACATGGGGCTGTATGAGGACAAACTGGCAGGTCGAAGTGTGATTATTACCCCTGGCCAGCTCGGTGTTGTGAAGCTGGAGTTAAATGCTTCGTCAAGTGCTTTGAAAACTACAAAGCATGCCAGGCATGGTGGCCCACACCTGTGATCTCAGCACTCAGTAGGCTGAGGCAGGAAGATTATGGAACGTTTGAGGCAAGCCTGTGCCACATAGCAAGATTCTGTCTCAAAAAAAGAGGGGAGAGGGAGGGAGGGAGGAAAGAAAGAAAGGAACCAAAAAGCACAGAACAAATGTTTGCTCCTGCTCCAGTGCTCAGCTGGACAGAAGTGGTTTTTGCGAGGAGCTGCATTGGGCTTGCGTGCCAGTGGTGAGTGAGGGCTCGCTGTGCAGTGAGAGGGTAAGGCCTGCTCTCCAACACGCTGGTGGCGGACAGTCCTGTGATTTATCAAACCCCAGCGCTGGCAGGCGGCATAGACACTGACACTTGGTGCATTAGCATGATGGATCTGCTCAGACAGGGCTACAGGAAGCCGGAGGAGGCACCCTAGGCCACGGGGACCCAGGCTCCTGCACTGCGCCAGGCTGGGGTCCCTCTGGATCCCAGGATTGGCCCAGAGTCCCACTGCTCACACAGCACAGCGCAAGCTTCAGGTGGCTCTAGGTCAGGGCTGGGCAGTGGGCAGATGGCCGAGATGACCTTCCAGGCCCCTCCTGCCACTGCCCCTCTAGGGAGCCCACTGGGACCTCCCCAGCAGAGAGGACACGAGTACTACCCTCTGTCCCCACAGTCCTGCTGTTCCTGCATCATGGTACCTGGCAGGTCCCTGCACACAAGTGTGCACTGGGAAGAGAAGTTACTGTGGGTGTCGGGGGAGGCCCCTGGCAGGTACTGCATGCGGACGGCGGAGAGCTGGGGCCGCAGAGTTCCTGTCGCCGTCTTCCCACAGTGAGACTGCAAGGCCCTGTCGTTTTCCCTGTAAATCCTGTAATTTCATGCTCCAGAAGACTGAAAAGGAAGAGGATGTAGCCCCCTGGCCCCAGCCTCCCCGGACCTTGTCCCTTCTGCCCGCCGGGATCCAGTGCCAGTGTTGCCTTGGGTGTCCTGGAGCCAGGCTCTCCCCACCTCACCTCTGCCTCATCCCCTGGGCTCCTCCGCACTGTCTTCGCCTTCAGAGGATGAGTATTTGTCCTTAGACCTGGAAGAGGTCAGGAAAAGCCATGCCACAGAAGCCAGGCTCCTTCCTGTAACCCCCAGCCTCCACCCACAGCCCCTCCAAGCCATTGGACTGGGAAAGGTTGGCTTCCTGAGGACAAAAGCACCTGCCTGCCTCTAGGAGCCCAGGACGCATCCTTGGGTGGGAACCTGGGCGTGGGCGAGGTGAGGTCATATGAGGGTGGGGACGGACGACGCCGATGGTCACCCAGGCTGTGTGACTAGGGCTGAGTGGGAGAAGAGGAGGAGATTGGGGACAAACGGAGGTGCCAGGCACTGGGCCTTGAACCACCAGTGTGAGGGGTGAGGACAGTGCAGAGATGGTGACCAGCCCAGGGTCACAACTGGGAAGCCGCACATAGGGACCCCGGCCTGGGCCTGGGTCAGGGCCTTCCCGGGGGTCCTGGAGGACCCTGAGGCAGATGGGTATGGCAGGGCCCCCGCACACGTCCCAGTCCTAGGATCCC